GCGGTCGCCTACCTTGACCTAATGGTTAAGTCCGCCTCTGCTTGACAGTAAATGACAGAATTTTCATTTTTGGGTGAACTATCCCTTTAAGTACATATATGTAATTTCAGAATTTCAAAACAAAGTGTACTCTTTGAGTACATTTAAGTGGCCTTTTGTTTTATTTAATATGAACATACCTTAAAAAAACAAAACATCATCTAGCATATAAAAAAGCATTTTAGGGGGCCCTTGGCTTTTGAGGCCCAAGGCGGTCGCCTGCCTTGACCTAATGGTTAAGTCCGCCTCTGCTTGACAGTAAATGACAGAATTTTCATTTTTGGGTGAACTATCCCTTTAAGTACATATATGTAATTTCAGAATTTCAAAACAAAGTGTACTCTTTGAGTACATTTAAGTGGCCTTTTGTTTTATTTAATATGAACATACCTTAAAAAAACAAAACATATACCTTTAAATAAAATTCATCACAATTAAGCACACTTGATTTTCACAAGGGTTATCTTACTTAAGTTATGTTATGTGAGCATCTGCTCACTAGAAACTAAAAAAAAAACACTGGTATCTTAAAATGTAAAGCTTTCATTTCATGCAGGAAGTAGAAAAATAGATTGCAACTGACCAAGTCAAATCTATTGTTTCAATTTAAGCTTATATTATTCTCATTTATGTAGCATATAATAAACAACCGAAATGGGTTCAGTTTCAAATGGTGATGGGAATTCCGGCTCTTTTTAGGGATCAGGATCTTTTGGCTCAACTCAGCAAAAAGAACCGGATCATTTCGGCTCCCAGTATCAATCTGGAAAAAATCTGTAGAAAGAAACATCATACATGTCTTATAAAACCAGATTTATATACTGTACATTCTAACTCATAAACATCTTCAAGACATTTTCTAAACATCTATTTAACATCTGATAGGAAACGTCTTAGAGACATATTGCAGATGAGCAAACACTCTAAAAAATACATCTTGCAGATCTAAATGCAGACATTAAATAGATATGATGTATCAGGGTATGTGCTTTCAGGGTAGTGAACTATCCAAAACACAAACTAGACCATTCTCAAAATGTAACATGGTGTGCCATATAACAGATAAAAACTAAATTACAGTGTGCAAAACAGAAGCATCCAACACAGTTGTATCATTACAACATTACATTACATAGATCTATTAACCCTGAAACGTCACATTGTGCATGTGAGTTGAACCTGTTGATGTGTATAGGTGCGTTCGACTTGAAGCACGGCTACAGACGGCGATCAACGAGAGCAGCCGCTTGCAGTCGGGGTCGGAGTTGAAAACGGACACGTCAAACCGGACACTTTCTGCTCCCTGTTAGTGACGCTCACGCGGTGTTTCCATACTCTATCACAGATGAAGTGAATAAAATGCAATAGTTGTCAAATACACAGACGTTTCAGAAACGTTTTCATGAGCAACATGAAATATATGCTTTCATGATAAACGTGACTCAATATAACATTGCGACTACAGTAAAAAAGCTTTTACTTTGATGCCACACGTGACAGTGACGTGGCGTCGGCGCCGGTTCAAGTCGGACTAAATTTCTAACCGGCATGCACTGCTTCAAGTCAGCCACTGATCGGTCTGCGCAGTGCTGCATGAAGTCGAACATACCTTATGTGTGTGCAACCAGTAGCCTATTGAAAGCCAGGAAGGTCAAAAACGCGCAAATTGTAACACGCAAACAACACGTCAAATACGCCTTGTTTGTGTGTTGTTTGCAAGATTGCTGGTAATCAAACAGTTGGTGGTTGCCATTGACTTCCACAGTAGGAAAAAAAATTATATGTAAGTCAATGGCAACCACCAACTGCTTGATTACCAGCAATCTACAAAATATCTTTTGTGTTCAACATAAGAAAGCAACTCATACAGGTTTGGAACGACATGAGGGTGAGTAAATGATGACAGAATTTTAAGTTTTGGGTGAACTATCCCTTTAAGTCCTATAGTTGGTCAGAAACATTCTAAAGATCAGCCAATTGCCTTTAATATAAAATGTAAACTATAATATATTTTCATTTTATTGTAAATAAAAGGTCAGAGTAAGTGTCTAAAATCAATACATTCACATTAAGTATAGGTACTCTTTTAAAAAGTATGATTACGTGGACTTCTTTTTCAAAGAGAACAGACACACTCTTAGAAAAACTCATTGTCAGGGAGTTATGATTCTCCAAATTTTATTGAAGTGCTTCGCAATGAAATGTCTCTGTGTCGTGCTGCACATTCACCTCTAGATGGAGACATTCTCAGTCTTTTGTGAGGCCTGTCTAAAGTTGACTTGGGCTTCATACCTCTAAAATGTAAATTAACATAGTGATTGCAGAATAACTGCCTGTTTTAATAATGCTCGACTAGTAGAGTATCTGTAGCACTTCATTTAATTGTACACTGTTACATAATTAGCCTTTCTGGATCCTGTTACATTTCATTGCAAGGCTACCTGCTGATTTATTGTCTCTATGTTATATATGTAATGATATTTGACACCTGTATTTGAATTATGAAACAGTTGTTTTTGTGTGAGTCTTAGTAGCCTTTACCTCAATTTAAAATTTGTTGATTTTTATTTAATCTGCACAGATCTTTAATGAAGTCTCTGATACCACCTTAATGTAATAATATTACTTCTAAAATGGTTTAAATATATTTTGGGGGCCCACTGTTTACTTTATACATCCCAACACAGCCCAATTAAAACAGTATTCAAAAACAATCCCGTTTACACACTATTCAGTTAGTCCAGAGCAATGAATGAATTTCAGATAAATACTTTTTATCAAGCAGTTTATTGTTCAGTCTTAGAGCTGCACTGATGGATACAGTGAAATTATTAATAAATATGCAGCAGATAAAGGAGAATCATCAGTTAAGTCAACTTTGCATTTGGTGCTTTTGACAATACATAGAATTTCAAAGCAACTTTACAAAATAATAATAATAATAATAATAATAAAAATACCCCTCAAATACAACAACAGTATACTTGTTAATAATTTAATGCTTTACTTTTTCTACTATACTCACTTTTCTAATTTTTACTTTACTTTCTCATGAACTAGGAGGTGTATTTAAACCAAATAATACACAGGGAAAGAAAGAGAGAGAGAGAGAGAGAGAGAGAGAGAGAGAGAGAGAGAGAGAGAGAGAGAGAGAGAGAGAGAGAGAGAGAGAGAGAGAGAGAGAGAGAGAGAGAGAGAGAGAGAGAGAGAGAGAGAGAGAGAGAGAGAGAGAGAGAGAGAGAGAGAGTACATCAGAGCACACTATGTACACTAATAACAAATATGTGGTTAAAATTAGCAAGAAGCACAACTTTCCTACCTAAGAGTTAAGGAGTGAAACAGCTAAATTTGTTTACAGTGTTTTATGCTGCAATTAATTATATAAGACAAATTAATAATCATTAAAATTTTTGAAACCACTTAGTCAGCTGTGTCATATTTCAGTTGTCATTGTTATATATGTGGAAGTTTTCTGTGAAGAAGAATTTGTGTTTGTAGTCATTCAATTCTGTAGTCAATTCAATTGTCAGAGGAGCTTCTGAGAAGGATCTGTTCACCGTAAAGAAACAATATACTGTGAAAAGTGCTCATCAAATGAATTGAATGGAACAGAATCAAAATTACAGTATTAATTAATGAGACAGTATATGAAAGTGATGATCTGTATTATGTCAGACTGGACTCTGTGGATAGAAAGGGACAAAATGCTCTTATTTTACAGTGAACATCCTGCAGATTTACATTAAACACTGCAGATTTACAGTGAACAAACTGCAGGAACAGAACATACATCTGGAGAAACCGGTTCATTCACTTTTGTCTCATATTCGGTTCTGAGGAGGATCTCAGTGACTCTGCAGTTCAAAATACCACACATATCAAATTAATTTTTTTTTCTGTCAGCCCAAAAGCAGACAGCAACAGGCACGTTCAGAAAGCAGGAGATGAAGTGATAGTAAAAAATATTATAGAGATTATTGAATAATCTTAGTTGCATCTGTTTCCACTGTATGTTCAGTTAGACATTGTCTGACCAACACAAATTCCCAAATTACCAAAACAAAAATTACTGCTTCACAGCAACATCATCCTGAGATGATAAATCCTTGAAATGGAGACTCTCTCTTTCTCTTATCTCTAATTTACTTGTGAAGGCAACACAGCACTCAACATACAGTTAGGATTAATCAGTAACAGAAAAATAACATAAAAATTATTTAAATGATTGCAGTACATACATGTTATATACGTGTATGAAGTAATGTTTAAGAGATAAAGAAACAGCATGAATGACGTGCAACACAAATGTATGTTTGCTCTATTAAATATGTTCTATTATATATAATAAATATTACTTCTGTTACTAATTTCTGTAGTTACGTCTACAATTACACTGCTGAACCTCTCCCTATCCCTTAACCCACCCTTAAACTTAACCATACCACAAAACCTGTCCTTAACCTCACCAGTATCCCACATTAATAGCAGCAACAGTGTTTTGCAATACAGCATCAACACAATAAGTGCTTTTTTGACATAAGTAGTAGTTAAAGTCATCTAACATAAAGTGGGACTGAATAAACATAGTAATTTTACACATTTGTTTTTAACAACATTTGAAAGTACAACATGCATTTACTCTTTCTGTACACTCTAAAAAATGCTGGGTTAAATACAACCCAGCGCTGGGTAAAATATGGACAAACCCAGCAATTGGCTTGTTTTCAACCAACAGCTGGGTTGAATGTTTAACCCAAACTTCTGTGCAGTTACCCAACTGCTGGGTCAAAACAACCCAATCGCATATTTTACCCAGCGCTGGGTTGTATTTAACCCATCATTTTTTACAGTGTAGTTAAATTCATAAATTATATATCTCATACAACAAATCTCTTCATAAACAGACATATGACCGTGATTAGGACAGAAGTAGAAGTCAGTTGTTTGTCTGTTGTGTGATCTTAAACAAGTGACAGTGAGGAATCAAAAACCTTAAACCCAGCATAGAGGGGTTCAGTGAATGTGGTGTTGAATGTGTGTAAGTGTGTGAGTGTGTGTGTGTCAGAGATGCTGTAGAAGGACAGAGTGCCGGCCGACACGTCCAGATACACTCCTGCTCTTTTAGAGGAGGGGGAAGGAGCAGGAATGTTGTTGTTCAGATTGTTGTGCCAGACAACAAATCCATCAATAGTGCAGAAAAGACACCAGGACTTGTTATTGTATCCAAACTTACCAACAGTCGCTTCTTTCCTGCTGATTGTTTTGTAGGACACTGCTATACGAGCCCAGCCAGTCCGCTCAACCTCCCAGTAATGGCGTCCAGTCAGACTCTCTCGACACAGAACCTGAGGAATATCTTTAAATCTCTCTGGATGATCAGGATACGGCTGCTGCTGATCCACATATTTCACCTCTCCGTTCTCAGACAGAATGAGTTGAGTGTTTGCTGTGTTTGGATCCAGTGTGAGATCACAGAAATCTGAACACAAGAAGACAGACAAAAACAGCTGTATACTTTTTTTGTTGTCATTAAATGTGCAAGAGTGTGTCACAGAAAGAACCTACATTTTCGAAGTCCTGGTTGGATCCTGAAAGGCTCTGCATGGTCCAAACTACACACACGCACACGCACACCCACACAAACAAATAATTATAAGAAGTTGGAAATGTTATTCACATAGAGAGCATTAATAAAAAGAGTCAAGTCCAATCCATTTGTTTAGTGTTTCCTCACATATCATTCAGTTTACAAAGCTGTTCAATGTTACTGTCTTCAGAACATAGTGGACAGCTTAACAGGAAAAAGCTTTAATGTCTTCATAATTAATATTTAGTTGTAAATGATTTGCATTAAGTAACTCTGTAAAACTTAATTTGAACAACAACAACAAAAAAATATCTATCCTCAAATGCTTTGATTTTTTTTAATTCATTGCCTTTTACAGTTTTATTTTCAGCAAACACTTTTTGTCCATTTTAGATTTATGGAACAAAGCAACTCTGTCCATGTTGTACTTTCACTGTAAAATGCTACTAAATATATAAAAAAATGTTTTAAAAAATATGGTACAACCATATTTTGTGAAGTAACAGGGATTTAATTAGTACATGCAGAGATGAGAAGTACCAGAAAAAGTAATGATGATTTTAATTTCTAAGCAATGTTTTGTCTCGTGCTGCAGACATTAAGGTTTCTTAACTTGTACCCGACATACTTGAGTATCTTTAGTGAGCAGTTTGAATCCTTCAGTTTGTCAGAAAGCAGCTGGACTCCTGCTTGTCCTGGGTGATTGTAGCTCAGATCCAGCTCTCTCAGGTGTGAGGGGTTTGAACTTAGAGCTGAAGACAAATACTGACAGCCTTCCTCTGTCACCATACAGCCAGACAACCTACAGACACACAAAACAGTGAAGATTACATCATCTGTGAAGCCCTCAACTCTCAAACACTTGAGGAATCATTGCTGATCTCCGTTTAAAATCAATATGCATGTCCTTACTGCTGTTCTCATGATATCAAGGTACTGTATATGCATGAATACTCTGAAGGGACACCAAAGATCATGAAACAATGATCAGTCATGATCATGCATCACACAGACAGACACAGAACATTCACTCTAAAGTGAGCGTAAACCAGGAGGAGTAAAATGAAACAAAACATCTTGCAACAGGCTCTTTTAAAATAACTATTTTTAACTTGACACAGCGCATTAAACACACAACGCTGAGTGCTGAACTTTGGTTATGCCAAAGAAAATAGTTTGTACACTTATTATTATTATATTAGTGTAATCTGGAGACATGGGCTTTCTGAGGTGTTTTTCATTGAGTCAGACATCAAGGCAAACCCCTCATACTGGCCTCACCTCCTGTGTCAGCTTGATTTCAAAGATTTAACTGGGCAGAAAGAGGGCAAGAGGGAAAGTGTTTGGCAATGATTGATCGTAAGGACGGACCTGTAGCCTTGACAACAACTTGAGAAATTATAAATGTTCTACAATACCTCAGTATCACTAGCTGACAGTTTGAACTATTCAGTCCATCAGAGAGTAGCTTCACTCCTGAATCCTGCAGGTCGTTGTTACTCAGGTCCAGCTCTCTCAGGGCAAAGTTTGAGGATTGTAAAGCTGATGACACAATTTCACAGTGCTGAGCAGTGAGATTACAGCCAGCAAGACTGAAACAGAGCAGAACACATGTGAATTAAACTCTTAACCCCATTCTACAATTAGCATTTGAATAATATCTGCTTAATTCTTGTAAAACAGATCAGGACATTATAAAAATAAGCAAAACAACAGAACTACAATTTCATTCAGAAGAGACTCTTCATTGTAACACATGATTAAACACTCACAGAGCTTTTCTGCAGTTGATCACAGCTGGTATAAGTCTTCTTCTGCCCTCATCTGATGTGTTGTATTTCTTGAGATCCAGCTCATCCAGCACCTCCTCTGATATCTGAAGCATGTAGGCAATTGTTGAACAGTGAGACGGAGAGAGTTTCATCTCTGTGTGTTTGTCTGATTTCACAAACTCCTGAATCTCTCTGGACAGAGTCTGATCTTGTACTTCGAGGAGACAGAGGAACAGACTGATGGATCGTTCAGTGGAGAGTCCTTGTCCATCTTTGATCTTCTCTTTAATGTATTGTGTGGTTCTCCTGATGCTCTCTGAGCTGTTCTCTGTGTTTGTCAGTAGATCCTGTAAGAGTCTCTGATTAGACTCCAGTGAGATGCCCAGCAGGAACCGCAGGAACAGATCCAGGTGTCCATTTTTACTTTCTAAGGCTTTATCTACTGCACCTTTATGCAAATTGTGCATTGAATCAAAAGTCTTAAGGGCTTCCATGGTGCTGCTTAAATAACAGTAAAATACATAGAAAGCAGCGAGAAACTCTTGAACGCTCAGATGAATAAAGCTGTAGACTTTCCTCTGATGAATCACAGATTCCTCTTTAAAGATCTCAGTACAAATCCCAGAAAACACTGAGGTGTTAGTGACGTCTAAGCCGCTCTCTCTCAGGTCCTCCTCATAGAGCATCACATTGCCCTTCATCAGCTGCTTAAAAGCCACTTCAGCAAGTTTCACAATCACTTCTCTGTTGGTCTTCAGGAGTTTCTCTGGATCTCTCTCTTCATACTTCTGGTTCCTCATGTTGATCTGAATCAGCAGGAAGTGGATGTACAGTTCAGTCAGAGTTTGAGGGATTTCTGCACTCAGATCTTCTTTAAGCATTTACTATTTCTGTAGTTAAATTCATAAATTATATACTTCATACATTAAATCTTTTCATAAACAGACATATGACCGTGATTAGGACAGAAGTAGAAGTCAGTTGTTTGTCTGTTGTGTGATCTTAAACAAGTGACAGTGAGGAATCAAACACCTTAAACCCAGCATAGAGGGGTTCAGTGAATGTGGTGTTGAATGTGTGTAAGTGTGTGAGTGTGTGTGTGTCAGAGATGCTGTAGAAGGACAGAGTGCCGGCCGGCCAGTCCAGATACACTCCTACTCTTTTAGAGGAGGGGAAAGGAGCAGGAATGTTGCTGTTCAGATTGTTGTGCCAGACAACAAATCCATCAATAGTGCAGAAAAGACACCAGGACTTGTTATTGTATCCAAACTTACCAACAGTCGCTTCTTTCCTGCTGATTGTTTTGTAGGACACTGCTATACGAGCCCAGCCAGTCCGCTCAACCTCCCAGTAATGGCGTCCAGTCAGACTCTCTCGACACAGAACCTGAGGAATATCTTTAAATCTCTCTGGATGATCAGGATACGGCTGCTGCTGATCCACATATTTCACCTCTCCGTTCTCAGACAGAATGAGTTGAGTGTTTGCTGTGTTTGGATCCAGTGTGAGATCACAGAAATCTGAACACAAGAAGACAGACAAAAACAGCTGTATACTTTTTTTTGTTGTCATTAAATGTGCAAGAGTGTGTCACAGAAAGAACCTACATTTTCGAAGTCCTGGTTGGATCCTGAAAGGCTCTGCATGGTCCAAACTACACACACGCACACGCACACCCACACAAACAAATAATTATAAGAAGTTGGAAATGTTATTCACATAGAGAGCATTAATAAAAAGAGTCAAGTCCAATCCATTTGTTTAGTGTTTCCTCACATATCATTCAGTTTACAAAGCTGTTCAATGTTACTGTCTTCAGAACATAGTGGACAGCTTAACAGGAAAAAGCTTTAATGTCTTCATAATTAATATTTAGTTGTAAATGATTTGCATTAAGTAACTCTGTAAAACTTAATTTGAACAACAACAACAAAAAAATATCTATCCTCAAATGCTTTGATTTTTTTTAATTCATTGCCTTTTACAGTTTTATTTTCAGCAAACACTTTTTGTCCATTTTAGATTTATGGAACAGAGCAACTCTGTCCATGTTGTACTTTCACTGTAAAATGCTACTAAATATATAAAAAAATGTTTTAAAAAATATGGTACAACCATATTTTGTGAAGTAACAGGGATTTAATTAGTACATGCAGAGATGAGAAGTACCAGAAAAAGTAATGATGATTTTAATTTCTAAGCAATGTTTTGTCTCGTGCTGCAGACATTAAGGTTTCTTAACTTGTACCCGACATACTTGAGTATCTTTAGTGAGCAGTTTGAATCCTTCAGTTTGTCAGAAAGCAGCTGGACTCCTGCTTGTCCTGGGTGATTGTAGCTCAGATCCAGCTCTCTCAGGTGTGAGGGGTTTGAACTTAGAGCTGAAGACAAATACTGACAGCCTTCCTCTGTCACCATACAGCCAGACAACCTACAGACACACAAATCAGTGAAGATTACATCATCTGTGAAGCCCTCAACTCTCAAACACTTGAGGAATCATTGCTGATCTCAGTTTAAAATCAATATGCATGTCCTTACTGCTGTTCTCATGATATCAAGGTACTGTATATGCATGAATACTCTGAAGGGACACCAAAGATCATGAAACAATGATCAGTCATGATCATGCATCACACAGACAGACACAGAACATTCACTCTAAAGTGAGCGTAAACCAGGAGGAGTAAAATGAAACAAAACATCTTGCAACAGGCTCTTTTAAAATAACTATTTTTAACTTGACACAGCGCATTAAACACACAACGCTGAGTGCTGAACTTTGGTTATGCCAAAGAAAATAGTTTGTACACTTATTATTATTATATTAGTGTAATCTGGAGACATGGGCTTTCTGAGGTGTTTTTCATTGAGTCAGACATCAAGGCAAACCCCTCATACTGGCCTCACCTCCTGTGTCAGCTTGATTTCAAAGATTTAACTGGGCAGAAAGAGGGCAAGAGGGAAAGTGTTTGGCAATGATTGATCGTAAGGACGGACCTGTAGCCTTGACAACAACTTGAGAAATTATAAATGTTCTACAATACCTCAGTATCACTAGCTGACAGTTTGAACTCTTCAGTCCATCAGAGAGTAGCTTCACTCCTGAATCCTGCAGGTCGTTGTTACTCAGGTCCAGCTCTCTCAGGGCAAAGTTTGAGGATTGTAAAGCTGATGACACAATTTCACAGTGCTGAGCAGTGAGATTACAGCCAGCAAGACTGAAACAGAGCAGAACACATGTGAATTAAACTCTTAACCCCATTCTACAATTAGCATTTGAATAATATCTGCTTAATTCTTGTAAAACAGATCAGGACATTCTAAAAATAAGCAAAACAACAGAAAATACAATCCTACTCAGAAGAGACTCTTCATTGTTGCACATGATTAAACACTCACAGAGCTTTTCTGCAGTTGATCACAGCTGGTATAAGTCTTCTTCTGCCCTCATCTGATGTGTTGTATTTCTTGAGATCCAGCTCATCCAGCACCTCCTCTGATATCTGAAGCATGTAGGCAATTGTTGAACAGTGAGACGGAGAGAGTTTCATCTCTGTGTGTTTGTCTGATTTCACAAACTCCTGAATCTCTCTGGACAGAGTCTGATCTTGTACTTCGAGGAGACAGAGGAACAGACTGATGGATCGTTCAGTGGAGAATCCTTGTCCATCTTTGATCTTCTCTTTAATGTATTGTGTGGTTCTCCTGATGCTCTCTGAGCTGTTCTCTGTGTTTGTCAGTAGATCCTGTAAGAGTCTCTGATTAGACTCCAGTGAGATGCCCAGCAGGAACCGCAGGAACAGATCCAGGTGTCCATTTTTACTTTCTAAGGCTTTATCTACTGCACCTTTATGCAAATTGTGCATTGAATCAAAAGTCTTAAGGGCTTCCATGGTGCTGCTTAAATAACAGTAAAATACATAGAAAGCAGCGAGAAACTCTTGAACGCTCAGATGAATAAAGCTGTAGACTTTCCTCTGATGAATCACAGATTCCTCTTTAAAGATCTCAGTACAAATCCCAGAAAACACTGAGGTGTTAGTGACGTCTAAGCCGCTCTCTCTCAGGTCCTCCTCATAGAACATCACATTGCCCTTCATCAGCTGCTTGAAAGCCACTTCAGCAAGCTTCACAATTACTTCTCTGTTGGACTTCAGGAATTTCTCTGGATCTCTCTCTTCATACTTCTGGTTTCTCATTTCGATCTGAATCAGCAGAAAGTGGATGTACAGTTCAGTCAGAGTTTGAGGGATTTCTGCACTCAGATCTTCTTTGAGGAGATTTTGAAGCACAGTGGATGAGATCCAGCAGAAGACGGGGATGTGGCACATGATGTGGAGGCTTCTTGCTCTTCTGATGTGGGAGATGATTCTGCTGGATTTTTGCTTGTCACTGATTCTCTTCCTGAAATATTCCTTCTTCTGATGCTCATCAAATCCCTGAATTTCTGTCACACGGTTGATGTATTTGGAGGGGATCTGATTGGCTGCTGCTGGTCTGGAGGTGATCCAGATGAGAGCAGAGTGAAACAGATCTCCTCTGATGAGGTTTGACATCAACACACCCACTGATGAAGACTCATTCACATCACAAATTTTCTCAGTGTCTGCAAACACCAGTGTCCTTCTGCTTTCATCCAGACCATCAAGGATGAAAACACCTTTACTTTCCTCATAAATCTTTGAGTCCAGATCTTGAAGTTCAGGGTGGAAGTCCAGCAGAAGTCTGTGAAGACTGTACTGATGATCTTGAATCAAGTTCAGCTCTCGAAATGGAAACACAAACATGAAATCTACATCCTGATTGGCTTTTCCCTCGGTCCAGTCCAGAATGAACTTCTGCACAGAGACGGTTTTTCCAATTCCAGCGATACCTTTAGTAAAAACAGTCTTGATTTTGTATTTCTCCTCATATCCTGGTTTAGATAAGGCTTTGAAGATGTCATTACAATCTATTGGATTGTGTTGTGAGTGTTGTGTTCTGGATGATTTTTCCATCTGTAAAACCTCATGTTCTTCATTCATTCCTTCTCTCTCTCCTTCTATGATGTAGAGCTGTGTGAAGATCCTGTTCAAGAGGGTTTCATTCTCTTGTAGTTTGTTTCCCTCAAATAAGCAGCCAAACTTGTTTTTCATGCTGGTTTTGTGCTGGTCTTTGACTCTCTGCAGGACTGCTTCAGGTCTTTCCTGCATGATGTGGGCCTGATTGTGGGATGTAACTGTATCATCTATCTCCACAATGCTGAAATTAAAAGAAAGAACAGCAAAAATGGCAATTATTACAATGACTGTTGAAGACATATCAGTGTGGATTGGATATGTTGCATATTTTGTGGAACATTTAGTGTTCATTGGGTTTCTTGAACCATTATTTAATCAAGGTGAATTACAGTAAATCAGCAGCTAAATGCTTATACTAAATGTGGGGCAGAGGTCACTGAATGTAATGGGAAAATACATTGATCTTGTAATATTCATAGACACACTGCATGGGTTCTGGAGATTTTGATCTCTTCTTCCTGTTGTTTCTGACAAAAGATAAACAAGTTTATATATTATACACACACACACACACACACACACACACACACACACACACACACACACACACACACACACACAC